TGGGATGGAAGGCATTCAGATGCACTGTTTATCTGAGAAGGGTTTAATGTAACACTGTGCTACCACCTTCCTCACCTCACCACCTTCCGTCTAGCACGCCCCAAGGCCTGGGGAAAGGACGTGAGGCAGCCGCAGAGATGAGTGCGTGTGTCATTTAGCTAAATGTCTGCAACGACCACTAGACAGGGTGTGCTATCAATGGAGAGGCCATGTGTTGATTATCCATGGCATATTTTGGGCTCTTCAGCATCGGTTTTAGTTTGCGTTGCCTGATTCACTATCCTGTACCTTAATGTTCATGTGAAGTGCATCCCAGAGCCCTGCAGGTGCGTACGTCAGCACCTACCTGCACACTGTGGCAGAAGCCAGGCTCCCCTCACCCCGCAGGTTTCTCCTAGTTCTTTGCATTGCTGAAGCAGACGGTGAGAAGCCCAGTAGAAAGCAGAGGTGGTGGTGGCTCCGGCAGCCAGATAGTTTTCCATCTGTGAAGTAACGACACTTTGGTTCTTCTGCCTCGCGCTGGGGAGAGGCACTGAGGAAAGGACACAAAATCCAGCATTTTGTTTTCAGTTACGCCTGAGTTCCTGCCCAAGCCATGGGCCAAATAGTGCCTCATCTAACGGGCAGAGGACTGCTGCAGGGACTGGCAAAATATCCATGATTTTTTTGCCTGCTTTGCCTATGCCAGAGCCCTGGAGGAGCAGAGAAAGGGCAAGGGCGACTCATACTAAAAATGTCAGTCACTGCCCTCTGTCTGCTCCCATCTCCCCGTGACAGCAGGAGCAGCAAACCCTGCTCTCTCCTAGGACTCTGCTTCTTCTCCCTCCTCTCCCTTTCCAGCTCAGGTCCTTCATCCTTGGATGGCAAAACCACTTCTGTCTGCATTGCTAAGACTCCTCGAGCAAGCAGTGGTTGATGGGTAATGCAAGCAGATGTGCTTCGGCCTTCAGCAAAATCATTCCTGGCGCAGTCCCACCTACACATTTTGTAAGAGGTCTTTCTCTTTGCACGCTTTCTTTTCCCAGGTCTTGCTCCTGCATGCTGCTAGCCCTCCAAAAACACCTGAGATAGGAGCAGTGGCTGTGGCCTGGTCTCCAGGCGCAAGCCAACCCGGCGAACTGCTCACCCGCGGCAGGGTGTTTGGGTGCAGCAGTACCTGCAGGGCTCGGCGCCGATTGCATCACCATGTGCTGGGACATCGACTTCTCTTCTGGGCTTAGACAATCATCGTGTTGGGGCAGGGCGCAACGCTTATTCTGCTTAAAGAGTTGCCTACACCCGAGGTGCTGCATGTGAAAAACAATCCCGTGATGATGAAATGGAGAAACTAAATCAGAGGCATGAGTAAGTTAAACCATAATCAGAAAGAGAGTGGCTGAGAAAGCGTAGTTAGATGAGGGTGCAGGCCAGCGTGACAAGTCCATTGCCTGAAACTGTCTCTGGGTGACGCCGCGGCCCAAGACTGCTGTCCCCTAAGATCTCTTTTCGGGTTATTTCCCTGGGCCTGGCTCTGACAACTTGCCAGCAGACCTAGAAAGTGCTTCACTCCTGGCATCTCCTCTGGACATGTCCATGTGTCCTCCCATTGCTAATAGCTCTGTGGTGCTGAGTGCCTCTGCCATTGACCTGCCCTATTCTTTTTTATGTCAATGCAACCCATGACTCCATCTGCCCTTTTGGTGGGTTGTGTAGCCCCAGGGAGGGACTAACGGGCTTGGAGGAGGATACCAGCAGAAGATAAGTCCTGCAAGAGTTTTGAACGGCAACAGGAAACTTTGCTTTTTCAGTTCTAGTTGCCTCCATCTACTACGGACACCTGCAGGGCTTGGGACTTTTTGCCAAACCCTCCCTGGCTCACCGCAGTGGTGACCAATGGGAACACATACAAAGTCACCATGTTAGTAATTTGTTTGAATGTTGCCACCAAACAGGTCACGGAGCCAGCGCGAGGCCCTATTTACATAGTTACCCACACAGGAAAGAAGAAATTTCTTCTGGAAAAAAAAAAAAAGCCTCTTTCATGTGGAAAGGGCACACCATTTGAGTGGGAGGCTGCACACACCGAAGGGGAGGATGAGCGGCGCTGGATGTGGTGGGACACACGCCATGACTCATCCCACCTGAGCAGCATCGCAGATGCTCCTCGAGACTGTTTTGAACGTTGCTAAAGGCACATCCTGCTCTGCAGCCAAAGAGAAATAGTCATCCTAGGCACAGAACTGGCCCTATTGCACGGCAGTTAAAATAAAATATTATCCCCTTCCCTTACCCGCAAGCAAACACCGCTGCTGCTGAAGGCCAGCGGAGGAAAGGTGACATCATGATGCCCAAGAGAGAAAGCAAATATCGTACCAGCTCGCTGGCGCAGGTCAGCATCCACATGGGCACAGAGCTTTGCCTCGTTGTGGATTTATCTTCCGCATCCATATGTGCTTAAACGACCTTTTTTTCTGCTGGTTTGTGGGGGTTTTGCACAGTGCAGCCAACCGCCAGGGAGCCGTCCCTCGTGCTCCTGGCACAGCAAAGCCTTGCTGTGCCCCTCCTCGCCCCCAAGACCCCTCCGGCTGCCCTTGCTCCGGGGCTGGGCAGGATTGGGCCCTGCACCCCTCCCCCTGGGGCTGGGTGTCCGCTCTGCACACGGCTGGATGCAGCTCCCTTCCCTCCCCAGCTGCTGCTGCTGCTGGCACTGCTGTCACGAATGCGACGTCCTCTGCTCTACGGCAGTCGGGCTGGGAAGACCTCCGAAATCGGTCTTAAGTGTCTGATGAGCGCTAGAAACAGGGCTGGCATCGCCATGCCGTGTGGGCGAGGGGCGAAATTACACCTCCTACCCGTCCACCTCGTGTACATATTAATATACTGAATAATAAAGAAATCAAGTTGCCCTGCTAACCCAAAATCATTCGGAATATAAAACCTATGCCAGCCAGGACACACAAAGCAGTGCTGTAAAATACATCCTTCTTGCACAGTTTTCGTCACTAAAGAGCCTGGAAAATACACGATTTGCGTTTGCAAAGGACCCTCACAACTGGGAAAACCCCCAAAATTTAACAACTTGTTTATTTTTATTTTTTTGGTAAAAGTAAGTTTGCCATGTTAACAAAAGCAGAATAGTTTTATTTAGTGTTCATCTCACACCTTTGACAGCTGCAGCTGTCAGGCACAGAAGTACAGTATTAAAATAAACTGAACAGAGTTGCTCATTGAAAAATCACACTATGCAAACCTGTGGATTGTAACATCAACAGTATAAAATGTAACAAAACTGGAATTTTTAATTTTTTTAAGCTTTTAAAGATAATAATCCAGGCTATAAAACTATATAAGCATTGAATAAGAAATGTTAAGTCAACAAGTCTACAACAGATACATCTTGTAAAAACTCAATAAATTATATATATATTTATAATATCTAGTAACATTTGAAATCATGCACAGTTTTGTACATTTTCTTTTTTCAGTACAGGAAACTCAACGCTTCGAGTACTTGGAATGTACACAATTAGCAGACATTTGTAAGAAAATACCAAAAAATTCTTTTTTTTATTCCAACAAAACAAAACAAAACAAAACCTCTATAGAAATCTACCTTCTCAAACTTCCACTGAAGTAACCTCAAACTATAAATTATTTATTTTAGGATAAGGATTTTTGTGGCTCTAAGAAGAAAAAAAAAATCTTAAAATGAGATGCTGTCATCCTGTTATTCTGGAACATGGATATGTAATATGCACCAGAGAAAAATGGAAAACAAGAATTCAGGATGCAATTATCCTTGCCTCTTTGTGGTAGTACATAAAAGTCTTCTGGACCAAAAAAAAAAAAAAAACCCAAAACAAAACACCCAAACCTCCCCCCTTGTCAGCTTGATCCATACTGAAATTCCCCTCTTCACTCGTGTGCTTTTAAGCAGCTATCTGCCACAGAGGAACAAAAAAAGCACAGCATTTTCATCCCAGCAGACTAGGCATCCCTGGCTTTTTTTCAACATGTTAAACGCAAAAGAAATATGCAGTCATTGCATCTCCCCTACAAACAGTGTCGCTCCTCTACTTCGCCCAGACGTTGTTTCTCAAACCCAAAATACAACGGTACCGGCAAAGGGGGAAAAAATTAACGGGCGTCATCCAAAGTCAACATTTAGCTTTGCTGCATACTCGTCATTAAGTCGACCACAAAGAATACCTTCATTCGAAAATAGAAAAATAAACACCCACGCCCCCTTAATGCACAGTGGTTAAACTGATGGAAGAATTCTTGGCCCTGTTTTTCTGAAATTTGTAAAAATCATCTCTCTGCTGCTACTTGTTTGGTTTTAACCACTGGTGATGTATTGAAAAATAAACTTACCTTTGCTCACTGCAATCCAGGATAAACTAATATTTTTTTTAATGAATACATATATATATATATATATTTATAACATTAAATGTAATTTGTTAAAGGACTGTACATCTATACATTCTTTCAATTTTTCCCTTAAACACAAAAGAAAAAAACTTGATTAATATATTTTTTCTCCATTTTTAATAAGTTAAAAAAAAAACCCTTAAGCTCGGTGACGTTTAAAGTTTACAGTAACGCTACGCTATTTAAAGAAATGAACAGATATGTTAACGTCTATAAATAACTTTACAAATATACACGTTAAGGTACAATTTTTAAAACAAAACTGTGAAAATATAAAAAAACAGAA